ATCTCGCGGAATCTTCCGGCGAGCTGCGAAGACGGCAGGTTGTTGGACTTCGCTGCCGCTTTAACGAATGCCGTTTTATTCCAAGGCCACTATTGCCTTTTGAGGCGGACTTCGTCTCTCGGGCGACGGATGTTGCGACTCGTCCGTCCGTCCGTGAGTCAGTGAGTGAATCAGTCGGTCAGTCTCTCGTGTATCACTGTGCTACCCTCCGCAGCCTACTTTGGACCGCAGCACGGATCCGACGGTCCTGGCAGTGGCAGTTTTGCTTTAGTGTCCGACGGTCCGTGTCAATGCGGTCGTTATTCCCGTTTCCTTTTGAGAAAAAAAAGTGCCCTCACATAATCGAAGATGCCCGTAGTATGACATTTTAACGCTTGGTGTAGGTCGATGCCGAGCCTAGCCACGTTGATTTAACAACTTCGTTAATAACTTCCTCTTCGTACTTCTTCTGTTCATTCGCAGAAAATTCCAAATTTTTATATTGGGTTTCAATTAGAAAATTATGAAAAAGATGTGACATGTTGATTTGGTTTAACTTCCCAAACAGTAAATAGATACGAGACATATTGGGACGTCCGTTTTTTGGACATGATTTAAAGCAGACTTAACCATTTATCAATTGTGAATCAAGAGGAAAAAAGTCTACAGTACAAAGTTTTTGATAGAAGCATATCATAGAATTAGAATTATTCTAAGTCACTTAAATTGTACATAATTATTCGTTCTCTAAGAAAATTTTCACTTGGATGAATTATGCCATTGAGTTCCTCATTATTCAACAACATTTGCTCGATACTCAAGGATAATATGTTCACATGTTTACTCCCAGAATATTGATTCAGTTCCCCAGTTTTGCTTGTTGGCTAGATGGCGTAAGCTGCTAAAGTGCTGGGAAGATCTGTTTCTCGTCAATCGATCGAGTGGTCGGAATTTTGGACGTAGCCAAAACTACGGGAGTAGGTGCTTGGAGTCGACATTCGGATGTCCACTCACTCGACGAAGATCATGCAATTTCTCACGTAGTGGAGTCCAGTTCCAGAAGATGCCCGCCCAGACAAAGCTCCATTCTCTCGCAGAGGTGGGATAACATTTTAAAACAGATCGGATGTTGATGGAACCGCCATTCAGATCTTGAATCCAGTACATCTAAATCCTCAAAACACTCGGCCCAGAAGAAGGGCCAAAACACTGGAAAACTTATCTCCACTAAGCTCTCGGAAAAGATGTCTATGCACTAGACCCTGTGCAGTGGTTGGGTCTAGTGCACAGTTCCAAACCCTCTGCGGTGGCACATGGGCGTTTGACCGCATTCTTCATTGTGGAGTTCATCAGCTCTGCCATTCCACTTCTCGCTCTTCACTCTTTTTGTTTTTACCTCTCTCCTCAAAAAATCCAAAAAACCATTCATGACATAACTGTACATTCTGTTAACCATAAGCATATGAGAAACGTAAGAGCACGTTATCACAAGCAATGAGCATGATTTTCTTCACAGTTGGATTTGCAAAATTTGAATCCCAACCGCTTTTTAATAATAATAATAATAATAATAATTCACGTACATATTTGCCAAAAATATCGAAATCACTCAGAAAAGAATACATCGAATGATTGAAGCATCATGCACATTGCGCAGAACAAGCATGCAACAGGATACAGTCTGCTGAACATTAGCGCGAGACTTAACATGATTTGTCTTTACCCTGCTCCTGCCCTCAGCTTTTCCACAGTCTGTTCTCAAATCTTTTCCTCTGACTGAAACGACGTTTGACATCTTATCTATTTTCTTAACGGTAATGTGTAGTACACAATATTTTCTGAAATAATTCATACAATAATAACTATAATTGGAAGAGTAACTGAATTCTTTTCAATCAATATATATGTAACGGAAACAAATTCTCGAATTCACACAATGGAAAATTTGGGCACAAGTTTTCCACATTAAATATGTGTTTAGCTCTGAAATTATATCTGAAACACTCTGAACTTATATACCCAATGAGATATACGGGATTAGCATCTTCACTAGCTGATTTCATAATGATTTTTGCATATAATATTCGTATGGAAGTCTATGTGAATATAACGTACCTCTTCATTAGTGTGAACTGCCTGCCAAAATATCTCATTTTCAGATCAATGTGATCAAATAATAAGAAGGTCCCCCTGCTTTTTTTAACATCCACGGGGCTTAGCGTATTTTAACATGGGTAGATTTAGAACCGTGTCACTGAGTCGTCCCTGCATGACACACACTTGCTTCTCTTGGAGCGCCTCTCAGAGAATGATGGTACATGGTCAGGCTTTGATTCATGAGGTTGCCTATAGTAGTCCGAACAGCATAATGCTGAGAAAGTTTTTCTGCTTGCTTTTTTGTGAACATATGAACATATTAAAATATGTGACGAACACATCATCTCCTGTGGTTGTTACACTGTAGCAACGCAGCATCATCATTTCATTATATTTGTTTCTAGAGTTTTGTAGACCTCGTAAAAGTACATGTGCTACTTCTACCTTTAAATGACAGCGGTTTGGCACACGCATACAAAAGGCAAGTTCCACTGATCACCGTAATCCCTGTCCAAACTGATGGTCCTAAAATTAATCGTTTCTTCTCGGTCTCCTCGTTCGCACCTGAAGCTGTGGTCTCATCTGGGCTGTGTCAGCGATCAGAATGAATGGTCTTTGCTCATGGCATTTGACGTGTGACTGAACGTGATGAAAGTCAGATTAAATCCAAATCCTTGGTGGTGACTTTCACCGAGTGTACGTGAGGGAACACGAGGGTTAAGATAAGAGCTCAGTGTTCCTTCTGAACGAGATGCAAACATCACATGCACAAAAATTAACCACACGGACATCTTCAGTTCCATTTCACCAGCTCAGACCGAGCTTTTCATTCGGGTAAGGCCTCTGTCTGCTTTTCTGGCAAGGCCATTATGGTCCTCAGCCGGTCTAGAAGCCCTGAATGATTTCATAGAAGAACTACAGCGCTTGCATTGCATGCACACATGAAATAATTAAAAAAACAGCATCCTTGCATCCTATACTTTTACAATTCTTTATCCAATTTCTTCTTGTCTCTTATGAAGGCTACAAAAGAATGTCAAGGACGAGAGCTACTGGTCATCGTCCCAGATTGCAACTGGTGATTCCCTGAGTGGGTCATATTCAATTGCTTAAAAGCAAATCGCGTAAAAGTAAGTCGAGAAATAGACTTTAATATTCCCAGGGCAAGTGCACAGGCCCTGATATGCTTTCCCTTTGGTGGAGATCGTTTTTTCCAGCAGATTGGGGGGTGGGTTACTTTCTGTGCCGTTTCCGTGTGTCAGTTAGAAGTGTCTTCTTCTTCTTCGTACAATCGCATTGAAATAACGTCCAGATGCTGCAGATCCTCGCATCGGCCATGAAATCGCAAATTCCAACATTCTCCATCCGAGAAATGAAACATTCGATGCACGGGAATGCCGAGCAACCGGACCTCAACGCTGCAGTTGCTTGAGGGTGACACCTCAGAGGGCAGAGAAGCGAGGGGCTGTGAGGATCCAAGCAAGTGAGTGGCGTGCGTCCGCCATCGCCATCGCTATCGCCATCGCCATCGCCATCAACATCACCATCTCCATCACCATCACCAGTCAAAGGCGAGAAAGTCCAAATGTCTGGGGCCACTTTGTCCACAGAATAAAATTTCTATACCGTTACGCGAGTTATAGACTACCCTCCAAATACAGCGCGTTTTCTCGAACCCCGGCCAGCAGGCGACGAGCAGGCGCTCGCCAGTTTAGCACCAATTGAAACCGCGGTCGAACCCCGGGTTTATCGGGGGTATGAATGGTAGTTTCACTAAATTTAATGCCCGGAACGGTATCCTCGCAACGTCTTTCTTCGCGAATACCCCTCGTACAAGGGAGGGCAGGGCAGGGGTGACACGATTACGAATTTCGCGGGGCTAAGAATCCGTTGGATGCATCCGGGAATCCGACACGAAGGAACCGTCCCGTGATGTGTCCGACGGGCATAAAAATAAAACCGGAGACGGGTCGGAAAGTGGCAAAGTGGCGAGAGCAGGTGATGGGCAGGGCAGGGCAGGGGTAGGGGCAGGGGCAGATGGGGAGGATGTGCGAGGGGCAGGCAGGCAGGGCAGGTGCACGCTGCCGCTGGGCTTCGGGCATCGTACGAGCTTGGGTGCGCGACAGGAGGGGGAGCCCGGGAAAGGGCAGTGGCAGAGCGCCTGCACGGTTTTGAAACCACGAAAAAGGAAGGTCTCGGGATCCGCGCGGCGCATCGGGACCGGTCGTTCCAGTCAGACTGGGAAAGGGGCAATAGTTCCGCGAGTGGACCCCCCGCCCCGACCACCGTCCGATCTTCCATCGCACGGCTTCCGTCGCCTTAGGGTTTGGTGGTGGTTTTGGAGATCTATGCACGCGGAGATGGCAGAGCGAGAGTTGGAAGAGAGCAACGCGCTTCTCATACAAACCGGGCAGCCAGATCGACGGTACCCGTTCCTCGAGAATGGCATGATTCTCTGGATTCCCGCTCCCCGCCGTAGATTTGGAACCGCCATATGATATGTCCCAAGGCTAGCGCATAGCGGGTTGGGCCGGGGTTGGGGGAGGGGATGGCGAAGGGTAGTTTTGGGAAACCGAGCTGAAGGAGGACACCCAGCCGCCGTTGAGAGCTTGGGATGTTATGCCAGCCGGGAAGGGGGGAGAGAGACAAGCGGGCCTGAACCCCGGGCCCGCCATTGGACCAGAAGGGGTCGGCGTAGAAGCGGGACGGGCAAGACAAGACGTACTTTAGATACCACCCGTGTGACGAACTACTCAACCCCCCCGCTCCCTCCCTCCCTCCCTCCCGGGTCTCAAGGAAAAAGAACTCCCTTGCCCCACCCTCCGCTCCCCCAACCCCAACAGCCCAGCCCGGCCCGGCCCGGCCCAGCCCGCCCGCCCGCCAGCAATAGCACCAACGAGCAACAGCTCCAGCACCAGTACCAACGGCGATCGCGATCGCATTCGCAATCGCTGCGTCCGCAACGCCCCCCCTGCTTTAGTACTGTAGTATGCTCATCAGTCCATGGCGAGTTGTGATGGCAAAGTTTCGTCGTTGGCTATCGACCATTGACCCGTTCACCGTTCTGTTCTCCCCCCGTCGTACCGGCACGCCCATCGGCAGCATTTGCAGCATTTGCAGCAGCAGCAGTGAGACATAAGCCGGTGCTTGGCCTCCGGGCCGATTTCTCTGGTCTTGTGCTGCGGATGTTCGAAGAAGAAGCTGAAGAGAAGACCGAGGTCGATTTGAGAAGCGTGAGCCTGCGGAGTGAGGCCGACCAGGGACGAGTGTGCGAGCGAAGCTGAAGCTGAAGCTGAAGCCGATCTGTTTCTCTAGTCGGGAGAGGATGGTCGTTCGAAGGGTGAGACAATGAGTAGTGACAGAAGGGTGGGGAGAAGAGTGTCGAGAGAGTGAGAGTGAGAGTGAGTGAGTGAGGGAGTGAGTTAGTGACAGAGTGAGCGAACGGAAGAAATGCGGATGTGAATGTAAATGCAGGAAGGGGAGGAGGGGGAGAGCAGCTGCGGAGGAGGAGCAAGAGGGCGAGGAGGAGTGTAGCAGCAGTGCGAGTTGCTGAAATGGAATCCGGGTCGTGTTTTCGCCCTCGGATTCTCGTCACTCTGCTTTTTCTGCTGTCGCTGTACTGCACCTCAGGTTCGTTCGCTTTCATCAATCTCACCTCCTACTCATCGCCTTCTCCGGCGCAGCTGTGGCAGTGGCAGTGGCAGTGGCAGCTCCTGCTGTCTGTCCATTAGGGATCGTCATCGGTAGGGCGTGCCAACGACTTAGTGCCTCTCGAGGCAATTGCAGAGTGGCCTGTCTGTCTGTCTGTCTGTCTGTGCGCGCGAGGTCATTCCTTCCTTCATTCATTCATCCTCGTAAATTTTAGCAGCAACTCCTTTTCTTGCTCCGCCCGCGACTGTGAGCTTCTTTTTTCAGCTGTATCAGTAGCTCTGTGACTGTCGAAGCTCTGGTCTCACGAGTGCAACGCTCGGCTCTCGCTATTGAGCTATTCATGTGCCGGTGGATTCGATTCGATTCGACACGCTTTTCTGTGCTCACGCAGGCAATTCTGATGCTGCTGGCACATGCCATTCGCCGAGGCTCTTGCAGTGGCCATCAGCTTCGCCGCTCGGGATCTCGTGTCCTGACGGAGTCTGGACGCTCTAGCGCTGCTCTCTGCTCTCTGCTCGCATCCACTAGTCTCAGAATGTGTCAGATTCAAGCATAAAGCGAGCTGGTCAGGATTCTGTTGCCAGCTCATCGAGCTGGGTTTTAGCTCCCGTCCATGGTGTCGCATTCCGCTGAAGCTCCTCTGCGCAGCCGAGTGAGCTCTCCCCTGCGATGTCCAAGCAATTGTATGGTCTTGCATTGGTTTCGACGGGATTCCCGCCCCCAAGAACTGCGAATTTGTAGGTGCAGAGTGCCAACCCTGCCCTTCGAGCTGCACGAGTTCCCGAGAGAGTTCCCGAGGCCGTGCACGAAACCTTCCATCGCCGAATGCCCCCGGAATTCGTCGCTGTCATCTCCTCCTGGGCTTCACAGCCACGCGCAGAAGGAAGTTTCGTTCCTCCGGAGCTCAGCCCCTCGGCCGCCGCTGGCAGCGTTTCTTTCATCGACAATTCCGACGTCGGAACGAATTGCACCTCGTCAGACCACCACCACTCGTCAAATTCCCCGTCGCTGAATCGATTCGCGTCCAATTATTGGAGTGAGCGCGCGGGTGGGGCCCGAAAGAAGCAATGTGCGTCAGCTGCTGGCCCCCCGCCCCCACACTTCTCCTCCTGCCCTCTCGCCTTCGGTCGATCGACTTTGCAAAGAGCTCATCACCGCACGAGCGAGCCGGGCACCGCATGAATCCGCACCATGGGTCGGGGAGTCCTTCAGAAAGCAATTCCCTCCCTCTACCATCGCGGAAGCTCGAGCAAAGTGAAGCGGTCTCGCTCGGTCTCAATCAATCATGCGCCGATGATCGACGATGGCGCAATTGGATGTACTGACTGACTGATGGGGGATTGATTGGCGTGGGTGGTGGGCGCAGTGAGGGCGGGGCCAGTGGGAGTGTGCTATGGGCGCAATGGGGACAATCTGCCGACGCCGCTGCAGGCAGTGGCGTCGCTGCGAGCCAAGGGCATAACGAAGGTGCGCATCTTCGACGCGGACGCGAGTGTGCTGCAGGCGTTTGCGGACTCGGGCATCGCGGTGTCGATCACGGTGTCGAATCTGGACCTGACGGGCATCGCGCTGGACCAGGGCGTGTCGGACGCCTGGGTGCTGAACAATGTGCTGCCCTACGTGCCGGCCACGAGCATCTCGTCCATCGCCGTGGGCACGGAGGTCATGATGACCAACGCCGGCAATCTGTCGTCGTTCCTCGTGCCGGCCATGCGCAACATCTTCACCTCGCTCAAGACCAACAATCTCGACTCCGCCATCCAGGTCGTCTCGCCCAACTCCATGACCGTGCTGTCCAAATCCTACCCTCCCTCGGCCGGCACCTTCGACCCTGCCATCGTCAACACCGTCGTCATCCCCATGCTCAGCTTCCTGCAGCAGACTCGCTCGCCCTTCATGCTCAACTCCTACCCTTACTACGCCTACGTGAACGATCCCAAGGGCGTGCCGCTCGAGTATGCGCTCTTCACCTCCACCGTCGGCGTCATCGATTCCAACAACCAGCTGCACTACACCAACCTCTTCGATGCGCAGGTCGATGCCGTGTACGCCGCCATGGATGCGCTCAATTTCTCCGACATCAACATCGTCGTGGCCGAGACTGGCTGGCCCAGCAAGGGCGATTCGACTGAGAATGCGGCCAGTGTCAAGAATGCCCAGACCTACAATCAGAACCTGGTGAACGAGCTCGTGCGCGATCAGTCCGGGACTCCGCGCAAGCCTGGGCAGGTCATGGAGGCCTACATCTTCTCGTTGTACAACGAGAATCAGAAAGCCGACCCCGAGTCCGAGCGCAACTTCGGCATCCTGTACGCCGATGGCACCGAGGTGTACACTCTGAATTTCTATGGTGGTGCCGATGGCGGCTTCCAGGTGCAAAATCGCACCTGGTGCGTGGCCCGGAACGATGCCAGCAACAGCAGCCTGCGCATCGCCATCGATTATGCTTGCGGCGAGGGGCGGGCTAATTGTGACGCGATCCAAGAAGGCGGGGCCTGCTACGAGCCCAACACGTACGTGAACCACGCGTCGTACGCCTTCAATGACTACTTCCAAAAGAGCAACATGGACCCCCGAGCTTGCAACTTCTCCGGAACCGCCAATCTCACGCAGCGAGATCCCAGTGAGTGCCCATTCTTTCGTGCTGTGCATCGAATTCAATTCACTCTAGCAAGAATCATTTGTCCAGTCCGCATTCTCGGAGACCGCAGTTCTTCCCTCACCTCGCAGCACTCTTCGAGTCTCGACGCATTCTGCCAGCAATCCTCGCACCTTCGCATTTCCTCATGTCGTAATCCTTTCCCACGGCTTTTGCCCTTCTATCTGTAAACCTCTGTCCGCCATGTTTTGTCTCCAGTTCGATATGCTTGTTCGTGATTGTTGTGGTGGTGCACTCACTGGTCACTCCCCGGTTCCTGTAGGATTCATGTCTGTGCACGAGGAATTTGTTCAGTCGAAGTCTGTGTCTCATTCACCGGAGATCAAACCCTTCCCTTCTTCTTTCTGTTAGCTGCAAAGTATTCCTCTGTTCGTGTCGCATGGTGTGGGAAGGATGACGAAGGCCGTGACGTCGATTCTGTTGCTCTTGACGAATGAACTGTTACACTTGTCCGGCATTTCTGACCTGAGTCTTGCCATCTTTGCAGGTTATGGGAACTGCGTCTTCTATTCAAAGTAAGCATCAAGCTTGTTACACAAGTCCCCCGTCGATGTCGATTCGTTTGACTCGTTACGGTCCAGTGAGGTCGGGTCTCTAGATTTACAGGCACGTAAAATGAGATGAGATAAGATTTTGCTTGCACCTAATCGATTCACTTCTCCAATGCAGGCTTCCCAGTTCTGGTTATCTCCAGTCACCGCAGGCCTACTACGGCTTCACGGCCATGTTGGCGTTGGTGTTCTTGTTGCTGTTCAGAGGCTGATGTGGTCCGTCTGCTCCGAGGTATCGCTGTCTATGGTTTGTGTAAGAAATCTAAATAATTGATGTGGTAGCTCATTTCTGACGCAAGCAGAAAGGGGGGAAGGTAGCGAAAGAGTCTGCTTGCTTGGAGATGCGCTCTAGGATGAGTCCTGGGACTCCGGCGTACTAGTAAAGTTGTGTGGACCCCAAATTTTTGACAAGTTTAGAGGAATTCTTTGATTGATCAATAATTTAAAGCTCCTATTGTAGAGGATCAGGTAAAAAATCAGCTTGGCTCTTGCTAAGAGCCGCCTGAATTATTTATGCTGGAACGGGGAGCCATGTAAGTGGTCGGTCATCTCCCCAGACGACAGACTTTGTGCAGATGCGGATTTTCTCCTTCTTCGTAATCTCGAATTTGTGTCTGTAGGTAGTGAGATTAGCTTTGGACAGATTGTCTTCTGTAGCCTTCTGGGCCTCTCCGGGCGATACCCTGGGCTTGTCGCAAGGTGTCGTCTTGCTTCAGACCGAGGGCCGTTTTTGCCCGAGAAGATCAGAATTGTACACTTCTAGGTCTTCTTTGCAGATAGTGATCATGTTTCATTCATTCCCCAACGAGTTGCCAGCGGAGCGATTTTGCCAAGGTCAAGAACATGTGCCCCCTGTGGCGGTATCCTGGGGCTGGTGGAGAACAGAGTCCCCTCTCGGGGAACTCATATTGAGATGGATAGACAGGCAGACGGACAGACATACGGGGCAGTGCTGTGATGAGAGAGAGAGAGAGAGAAAGAGAGCAAGGGTGTCGGATTTGGTGGACAAGACCGGTTGTCGAGTGGGGGGTGAATCATGGACTTCATACATGTCGGCTTCCTCCGATACAGGCGTACACAGAGGGAAATCATGATGGCAACAGCAGAGATTGTACGTTTGACACAGCAACGAGTTAATGACAAAGTCGGAGTAGTGGGTCTTCTGCCTGCCTACCTGCCTGCCTTCGAGCTGATCTGCACCCACTGCCACGCTGACAAACTCTTAGACATTATCATATGTCTCTGCCCGTGCCGATGGACGAGATTCCACAATTCTCGATGAAAAGGCTACTCTTGTTGGGAGTGAAATAAACGATCGGTCAGTACGTACATGTATCGTCAATGTTCTGGATACGCTTGTTTACGTGAGCCTTCTCTTTCATGTTCAAACGGTTACTACCATGAGTTTTGTGGTTTTTATGTTCCTTCATGGCAGTTGGTACTTGAAAATTTGCGGATATCTTTAGACATACACTTTGATGGTCTCGGCATTGTTGGATCACTTCGTGGCCTCAAGCGCATGATTGTCATGGTAGTACAAGAAACAATCCTTCGAAAGGAGCGATGTTCTTACTCACGGAGTGAAGGACAATTATTCTTCATGTCTGTGCAACTTTGTCTAAGCGCATTGTGTGAACTCATCGGGCGAGTATTTTCTACTAATTTCAAATTTAGTCTACCTTCCGAGCTTGCAGGCAGCAATCCAGATCGTCTTAAGTTTACTCCTGGACGATGTTCACTGTTTGTCCTGTCGATCGTACAACCTCCATAAATGACCTCCAAGCAGTGCAAAATGTCAAAAAGTCTTGTGCAATGTCATGAATGAGAGAGAGGGAGAGAGAAATATCCATAGCTCCAGAGGTACACTACTATGGTTAGGACAAGAAGAAACCTACCCGCGCATATTATCTACACTGCGTCAAAATGAAACGATGCCAATGATGATACAGTCGGATGAACAGTCCACAATGTTATAACCCACCGTACGGTCACTACCATCTACAGCAGTCAACAATTTATCTCTTTAGAAAAGCCTTCGTTCGAACAAGTTGTGACAGGGAGGAGTAAAACTTGGATACTCCAATTCCGAGTGCCCTAACTCTGTCTATCTTGACCCCACATCTGTCAGCCACGGCAGGTTTCTGCATTCCATCGATCTGAAAGTTGTTCATTAAGTCGAAGAACGAGGGCCCATCTCAAACAGAGAGAGAACACGTGACCAGCTGGGCTTAAGGTTCAGCAAAGGCTGCTAAACGAGAAGGAGGACGCTATTTGCTCTAAAATCCGTACGATGCAGTTCCAGAAAATAATCGCTGGAGGTGAGATGTGCCAGTGGCCGTGCCCCGAGACCTCGAGAGAAGCCACATGCAGCAGCTTTCACCTCCTCACAAAAGTGAACCTGGAGCTGCGATCTTCCACTCAAGCTTTACGGAATTCACATGACACACTTTTTCGATCAGATAAGATTTCTGGATCACACATCAACATATCCTCTAGTTGAAATCTGCAACGGAGACAAGCCTGCAACGACGGTGAATCCTGATCCAAGGAGCACAATCGAGAAGCTTTTGGCACCGGACTTTACTGACGTAGGCGGTACGAACCAAGGCCTCGAGAAGAAGGGTCCGGTACAGCAGAGCAGGTTCAGAACACAACACATGCGCGATTCCTCTGGCATCTGCTCGAAATCAAATGGACCTATAAAGTTGTTGAACCAGTTCCTACGGTGATCCGAAGTGGGCTCTACACACAACCGATCTTACTTAAGAGCTCTGTGAGTGGCAGCTCAGCTGGTTGTTGGTGAGCCCAATAAAAAACACAACGTCACGTTGTAAGATTAGCTCGCAGGACTGGAGGCCATCGCTCCTTATTCTTGCTCTCTAATCGATTCTCTCGCTGCTGCTCATAACGGTGCTCTGAATGCAAATACATCTGAAAAGTTTGTACCACGCCCCCAGAGACCTTGAGCTGCCGTTGCGCCATGGTCGAAAGCGACCGAGTCTGTCTGAACTGACCAACCTAGATTTTTGATAGGCCTACCACTTTCCACTTCTTCCTGGACTGAGAATCGGGACTCGATTGGTGGACGCTGCCCGTGGTCGTATTGGTTGTTAGGCCCCCATTGGACCCGGACGCATTGGAAGCAACGCCTTCAGAGGGTTTCTCGTCACTGCCATTTTGCTCAGCATCAGTCCCCGCAGCAGGAACTCCTCCCTCCGCCTTGCCCAGCATGCCCTGCTCCACATTCTCCACCACCTGACCACGACGCAGAACAGAAACCTGGTGAGACACTTGCAGACCCAACGGTTTAAGCATCTCCATGCCCTGCTCCATTCTGTACCTCGTCTTGTCAGTCGAGCAACCCCGACGCAAGTCAGCCTTTCCCAACCTCGTTAACTCTTTCTTCTGTAGACATAGAAATCCTGGGCCAAGAGGTGCAGAGCGGCAGTCGTCATGGCGTATGACACTCACTCTACCCATCTTCATGTAGTAGTGGTGGCAGTACTAGGAGCAATATACAAGTCCAGCACACAAACCCCAGTCGTTGACAGTGAGCCAGGTCAATCTGATTCAAGTACTGGGCCATCCATTCAAAGAGGCAGGTCATTCATTCATTCATTCATTCATTCTCGATCACAGACACTTACAGAAAGACCGTTCTGTGCTTTCTGCCAAGTTTTTGCACCTGAAGGGAGAATTCATATTCAAATCAGATCCACTTGTCTCAGAAAATATATCACTCCTAGACAACCAAGCACTCAACGGACTCAGAATCAATCGTGCCAGGGGCACGAAGACAGGGCTTTCTGCAGTGCACCAGCTGATTCAAGTGACAGACAGGGTCAAAGTATAATCTAGGACCATCGGCTCAGCTCTCTCTGGACAGTTCCCCGCGAGAAAACTATATCCTCTTCTGAGAATACAGGGAAGGGCACACAGTGCCACTGTCGCGAGCGTAGGCACAGTGGGCGTTCGGTAGGGAGAATGAACAGCAGCTATACAGCAACAGTGAATGAGGATTTGACCCCGAGGTCGTCATTGTACAGGGGAAAGGGAGCCTTGACTTACATGATATTCCTTCTAGTCTTGACATCTGTGAAGGTAACATGGTTTTGCCATCAATCTTCTGGACTATGGAAAGTTTTCGTATGGAAGGAAGTACATGTTTATAAGGATGGGAATGATAATGACCACGAAAAAACATTCTGTCACATTGTGTGTCAAACGCCTGTGGAGAAATATTTGTACGCAAGTATGTATGTATGTATGTCAGGCAGGCAGGCAGGCATGGCCTGGATACTGATTGCATGCAAACCCTTAATGTTATTCTTACAGGATGTTACAATCCAAGAGAATGCCACCATGTTTTGTAGCTCTTTGCTGTCTTCTGTTCATTGTAAACATTATTTCGCGACTGGACTGACTCTGGTGTTAGGCTGAAGAATTATATTAGCACCACTGAATACAAAGGAAGGAAGGAGAGAGAGAGAGAGAGAGAGAGAGAGAGAGAGAGATTGTATAAGATCCCAATTTATGAGTATGTGTGATAATATGTCGGATTTACGTGAGTCCTCATGGAGTGAGGAGAGATAGCACAGAAGCCTCGAGGAGTGAATCGACAGGCGTGCATGTGGAAACAATGAATGCGAGGGAGTGCCTCGAACAGGGGAGCTGAAGGCCAGCGGCAGATCAGAACTATTCGAGAAACATTCAAACATTCTCGTGTGAACAGAAGAGAAGCAGTTGGGGAGGAGAATTGAAGGGTAGGAGAGGAGAGGAGGCAGGCGGGAGAACCTTGCTCGCAGCATCGGGCGCAGCAGCAGCGGCAGCCTGCGAGGGCATGAGCGACGGAAGAATCTCCATAAGCCGTTGCTTGGTTCGAATCAAAGCATCCATAGCATCTTTCATGATCAGCTCTGCAGTCTGCCTGGCGCTGTCCAGAGCCTCTGCAGGATGCAGAATCTTCCTCACGCCTCCAGAAAACCCACTACTCCCCCCGCTGCTACTATTCTGCTCTGACGCCGCGTGCCCGGTGGACTCGACGGGGTCGAACGGCCTCTTCTGCATGGGCGCATACATCTGTCCTTCGTCTTCCCCTCCCTGCCCATTCTTCTTCTGATCCAATTTCTCATTCTCATTCCCATTCCCATTCCCATTCTCCCCATTCTCCACAGCCTTGCTCGGATCAACAGGCTCCGTTTGCCCCTCTGTGAAATAAGGCGTCTGCATTCTTGTCCGCTCCCTCCTCTTCTTCTTCTTCTTCTTCTATTTCTTCTTCGTCTGGCACCTGCACCACCGCCACCACTGCTCCTTCTCGCGACTCTCTCCGGACAGTGGAACCAAGGATAAGACAGTAGTATTTTTCTCGTTGAGCGCAGCGCATGATTCAGCTGCCCTGCTGCATCAATTCCAGTCAAAGTCAAGCGATGTGATCCGAATTCCAATTGACTCTGTGTCACACGGGCGCACACACATTCACACACTCACACACACACGAACCGCAGTCTCTCGCTCGCTCGCGCTGTGTTTCTGTGCGTCTCTCACTCTCTCAGTCCAGCGTGATTCTGCGGCGCTCGACTGACGTCCGCGTGTTCCATGCGTTCAGGCTGGCGACGCCGCAAACGTAGGGCCGGACGCACTTTGCGGCTGCCGCTACAAGAACTCCCATCTCCTGCTCGCTATCCTTCCACTGCAACTCAAGCCTTACGTTGTTGCCTTTTCTGGACTCCAGCTCAGCTTATCTGGGCTCCCAGTTGTAAGCTGTGGTCGACGTTGGTTACTTGGTTAGTGTCCTTTCCCGTGTCTTCTCTTGCCGAGCATGTACCGCTCGCAGTCGAGGTTCGGTTCGTGTGGTGGATGTGCCGTGAGCAACTTGTGGATCGAGGGTTACCTGCGGTGGGACATGTTTCCCATTCTGATGCTGATTCTTGAGTATAGCTCTATGTTCCCGGTTCGCCTACATCGCGGTCTTACTCGATGGTTTTTTCCACATTTCTGCTCTGTTACTGGTTGCCATCGATTGAAGGTTTGAACTGACTTGTTCCAGATGCTTCGACTGATTTTTCTTCTGATTCTTTTCTTGTCTTCGCTGCTCCTTAACTCAAGGAAAGAACAAACAAATTTCTACCTGCTGCTCTTTACCTTCACTGACCTAAGACTATCTTCCTAGGAAAATCAAACTTCCAATTCTTTAAAGTTTGAATCGAACCTTCGAACCACTGTTATTGATAAATTATCTGCTATTGTTATATATCTACCTTGAATTTTTTCTCAATCAATTATAATTTTGAATTTTTGAATAAACGATTTCTCCTAATGAAACATGAACATATTTGAATGAAAACAAGCATGTCAATCTTCACATGCAATTTTGCAATTAATTGTTATGTGATTATAAATCTCAAGTACTAGATAAAGTGCAAAACCAACGTCATCAAAAAATGATATTGTGATACACCTGAATTTATTCAATTCATACTTCTAATTGAATATAGAGGATCAAATTTATGAGTCATATTTTTTATATCACATTTTAAGATAAAAAATCAATTAGGCAATGTAATATGCATTCACCGATTTTTTTTCTCAAAATATAACTTAACACATCCTATTATTATAATTATATAAATTAAAATAAAACGTATTTGCGCATGAAATTTTTTTTAGTACATAAAATTTTAAATATATTTTAATTTTTTCATTAAATTATTTCAAATTATATATATTTTATTATTTGAAATTATAATTTTAGAAATTTTTTTGTAAATGAAATTATATATACATATATATAATTAATTAAATTAAAAAATCAAAATTTATAAAATTGACTACATTTTTATTTATCATAATTTAATGCTATGATAAAAAAATTTTAATTGCAATATACAAACATAGTACGTTCTTATAATCATTATCTCTAGGTACATACATAATAATATTACGATCAATAAACTTAAATTGTGTTATTTTAATTATGGCATTTTACAAAGTGATTATGTTTGATCATCTCATGAATTCCATCTTCAAAATTCAAAAAAAACTATTAAACCTTAAATTTTTTTAAAAAGAGTTATGGTTATGTCAAAAATGTCATTTTCAATTCTTGTTTGTAGTTTATCTCAAACACTTAATGGATTTGGGGTCCAATCTAAATAAGTGTGTAATTCATCTTCCTTGCGTCATTCTCTAATGTGTGTGCCTTGGTTCAGACAATTCAAGGAGTATTTACTCGAGTCAGCCTTACATTTGATTTGTGTTATTTTAATTACAAAATTTCATGGAATCATCATCACCAGATTTATCATCTCAAATTTAAATAAAAGGTAATAAATCATAAAATAGTAATTAATCAATTTTTTTAATGAGTCAGTATTGTGTCTGTTAATAGATTATGCACTCAGCAAAAGATTAAATATAATTGAAGTTTATTTTAAAATTAATTTTATATAATTTAAGTATCTCTTCATGTGAATATTTATCTACTGATTGATCTGTTGAATATCATAGAATCTGTGAAATTTTATAATATTTGATATACATGTATGCAATTTGAAATTCATATGCAATCGGGCAAAATAAAAATAAAAACTTGATAAACTGATTTGAATACAAACTATAGAGAATTTTTTAAAAATATTTTATTCCTAATTTTATATAATTTTATAAAATTCATGAAAAATACTATATATCTTTAAATTTTCATCCAATTGAATAAAAATATATTTAAATTTTTATAAATATTTTTTATAAAAAATAAATTTTGCTCAATATTTAAATTATGATATTTTTTTAGCAATTACTTCAACTCAAATTTTAGATTAATTTTTATAACCAATTTCACATTACAGTAGCCTCTACTTAAGTAAGCATTTTATGGCAAAATTGTTTGTGATGAATACTTTTTAGTGAAATATATCATGAATCGTCATATAAGGCATATTTTGATTTTTTTTTAACGTTTCACTTTGAGTACAATTTCTTGTAACTTGGCTTGGAACTTTTCAAGGCCAAGTTCCGTAAGTTGATATACGTGTGGTTCGCAAAACGGCTTTGGTTACTACCATATGGCGTGGGCTACATGATTACTCTTTATTACTATTTTTTACTTGTTTAAATAAGATAGAGTTGCAATTCACACCAGATTCGGTTTTAGTATTTTAACTTTTGAAATTCGTATGGAGTTTGTTTTCATTTGCGTAATGGATTATCTTGTGTATTCCTAAAACTTTTCAAACTGTTTTTTGAGATCTTCGAATGTTTCTTTGGCTTCTGTTTGAACGTTAAAGCAAAGCAACTGGTACTGAATATCAAGAATCTGCTTATACAAAAATTCAAATTTATGAAATTTAACTCTATCACGTGATTTGATAATCTCCTCTAATTGATTAACATTCTTATCTTTATCAAGACTTGCTTCATTAATTTTCATCAAATTAAACAACTCTTTGACAATTCCAACCTTGATGCGGCATATTCAGAGCTTGCATAGAACCCCTCAACCATTGGGGCTAATTTGCTAACTTTTCCAGCTGCAAATCAAGCGAGATCTGCAAGTAGATTTTTAAACTTCAACGAATTTATTCTTTGCTTTCAAGTACTATGTCCAGCAATGTAAGATGCATGTACGTAAACTAGAAAAATATTCATCACGTTTCATTAGAACAATCATATGATCGGACAAACGGTTAGAAAGAATCTTGATCTGGTGAAAGAATACACAAATATTCAATCAGCAGCGTAGACCCATATGCATGACATGGTAACTGAATTGAATATTTTTACTTAGATTGGTGTAAGTTTAAAGTAGGCTAGTTGCACCTTCGCCACCGCGGGTAGGAAGCTGCGAATATATTAAGAATACTCCCTAAATGTTGGAAAGCATGCGCAATTTAATTGTACCTGCAAAGCAATTTGTTTTGCATTATGCGACATATTTTTATTGAGTCCGTCACAATACAGAATGTTAAATACGCATCTATTGATAAAGCACTCACAAAATTTCTAAGTTCAAGTTGATTATTTAAATAGTAGAGCAATGTAAAAAAATAAAAATAAATTTAGTATATTATCATATATAAATTTTAATTTACAAACTTTGATGAGAAAAATTTATGTTATCCAAAGATTCTTCACGTGACCGGCCGCTGCGGGTAGAAGGTTACAAATATATTTAGAATACTCCCTAGATGTTGAAAAGCATGCACAATTTAATTGTACCTGCAACACAATTTGTTTTGCATTATACGACATATTTTTATTGATAAAGTACTCACAAAATTTATAAGTTCAAGTTGATTATTTAAAGAGTAGACTAATGTAAAAGGATAAATTTAATATTTAATATTTTATTATTTATAAATTTTAATTTAAAAAACATGATGCAATATTTGAATTTGAAATTAATAAATTGATTAGAATATAATAATTTTACAGTAAATAAATAAATAGGCTTTAATATAATTGAAACATAAATTTTTTATTGATATTAAAGTTTATTTTATATATAATTTTTTTAAGTAAATTATTAAATTAAAAATAGAAAAAATGTTTCAATTCTTTGAAAAATACATTTGTATTATATTTGAAATATTATTTTGATTTGTTGAAAAATTTCTTCTGATGTTTCTAATTTAATAAAGTAAAATTAAAAATTGTGTATCAAAAATGTTAAATTATAAAATATTTTTCATATTTAATTTGATTTAAAAATTTTTTTTTACAATTATTTTTAAATATTTTTTAAAAAGAGAGAAAGAAAAAATTGTTCAATCATTAAGAAACTTATAAAAATAATAACGTTAATAAAAAATTGAGTTGAGAATTTTTTTCTTATGATGTGAAAAATACATGTATATATTTCAATGTATTACATGTATGTATCACACTCACTCTTGTGCACAAGGGAAGTCTGAACAGGAATACTTATTGGGGAACAAGATCGGGTTATCATGCCTAGATGACACACATGATAACACTAATACATGCATCCACGAAGCGTAATATTAGTAGCACCGTTTACTGTAATATTTACGCTTATGTATTAATATTAAAAAATAATACATAAATCTAGTTTGATTTATTATTCAATAATATGTATTATACGTAATTTATTATTTAGTTAAAAGTAAAAATATAATTATGTGAAAAATTAAAGTTTATCAAATTTTTTTGGTTAATCAATAATTCTTTCTTAAAATATTTTTTATTAAATTTTGAATTTATTACATCTGATTTTATATTAAATTTTTTTGTAAAATAGAAATACAATATGATGTTTGAATTTCCTCTTTTTTTTTTTCCAATTGATACAAATTTTTGAAAATTTTAATTTTAAGTTTAAATTTTTGTAACATAGCATGCTACCTTTAAAATTTGTATACGTAAAATTACTTTTTTTTCAAGGATTAGTCAAAGAGATATCACTTAATTCTTGATATTAGAGAGATTATAATAATTCTCTTTGCTGATTTGACATATTGACGCGTTTGTTTATCATGATGACGAGTTGCTAATTGAAATCAGTTGCATTTTGATTTCAATGTCATGTGAAATCTGCGTGAATGTGATTTTGAATTTCTAGTAAATTAGTGTCTTAGACTAGCCTTCTTAGAGATTGGTGAAATTTTTTGCCAATCTTTTGACATTACCGTCAATTATTATCACCACTTATGCTATTGCTATTCTACTACATGCTATGTTCTTATTCTTGTATGTACAGGATTGTTGACAATGTCATATTCGACAATTAATGCTGAACATGTGTTTTTGTAGTTACAGCTTTGAAGTTAAACTTGATGTGAAATGGTTAAAAGATGATCTGATTTTTTTCCAAAATTGTTCTTCATTCACATAAAAGTATTTATGAAACATAAAAATGTTAAATTTAAATTATTTACATTATTTATTAATGTAAAAAAATAATTTTTAACCATGCTTATGTGAAACAAAAATGCACTTTATATAGATAAAAATTATTTATTTTTTTAAAAGTTAAATGATTTAGCTTTTGTGGGCATGTTTTTGAACTTGTATTTGATGTCAAATGTGTATAAGATGAATTTTTTTCCCACGATTTTTTTTCATTCACATAAATACATTTTTGAAACTTAAAAATGTTAAATTTTAATTATAACCACAAAATTTAATTTTTAGTATGCTTATGTGAAACAAAATGCTATCTTTTATTATTTTCCAAAAATCATGAATAATATGATTATTTCAAAAAATTATGTCATATATATTTATGTAATGTATATAATAAAATTTTTGAAATTGAAAACTATCCAAATATATATGATAAAATTTTGAAATAACCACAGTACTTTAAAATAGTAATAATTTATAATTTTGAATATATGAATTATATGAAATTTTTTAACAGAAATGGTTTATTCATTGTTGTACAAGTATTTGGAAGCCAAATATTCATAATATAATTTTAGATTTGATTATTAAAGATTCAAATTATTTTAACAATATATTGTGTATTGATATGGTATAAGGTTATTTTTATTATTATAATTATGAAAAATAATATCAATTAGTAGTTGAAACCATCCTATCATTTTGAAAATTAAACCATGTAAGTGTTATTTATCCAATTTTATTTCAATCAATAATATGAGTTCAATAAATTCTATGGATGATATACTAAAATTTATCAAATTTCTATTGATTAATAAAAAGTTTGATCTTTGATAAAAGTTCATGATTAATTTTTTGGCATATATTGCTTTAATTTTAAAAATATGATATATAGGAGATTTGCTTAGAATTTATTTATACATCATGCTTATTATTAATACATATAAATAATTTAATGCAAAATGTGTAAAATATAATTGTTACATAGGTTATTTCAGCTGGTTGATTAAGCTTACATATATTAGTGGAAAAATGTAACTCATTGATATTTAATTTTCAAATTGAACTAAAAAAGCTATTATGTGGAAATAAAGATTTTTGTGACAAATATAACTATGATCTATTCACCTCTAGGAAAAAGCATAGACATCAAATGCAAGCTTGGTGGAATTTTCTGTCATGTCATAAAAATTTAGTTCATAAGTTTTCAAATAATTATTTTGGTTGTATATAAACAGTATATGATAGACCCATGTGGCAACCATATGAAGTCGAGGTAATGAAGCTAAATACTCTTAATTCAGATAGAAAATTGATTATATCTAATGCATAGCATGATACAACTATAGGAATTTTTTTGACCGAAAAAGGAAATGGACGTAATGATGAACTTTTGTGCATTTTGACAATCTGAAAAATAAACAGAATACGCAATAAATGATCAACGTTGTATAGTGTGCAATATATCATAAGTTTTCTTAGTACTTTCAATATACCAACAAGCGAATGAATTATTCGGGAGATAAACTATATTATGGAAATGGCAGAAAAAGTGAATGTATTTTTATTGGTCTGAGTAGATTGTAATGAATCCTACGCTACTTGTCAATAATAACGTATTGAGCATTTCGCTTGGCCTTGGAGAGGTATCGAAGGGAAACGGAAGCTTGAAAAGCACACATAGTATGTACAAATTGCAACCACTTTAATACACACGGATATCTCAAACGGACTCGACAAAGTTCATCTCATTCGAACACAATGGTTGTGTTTGAACCCAAACATTTTAATCTCAGGAATGCTATGATTATACTGGAACAAAAAAGGTGAGATAGTTGAGTGTATGCACACAAACTTTAATTTTTTGAGTCGACACACATGACAGACGATCATGGTGAGGACGACGGTGAGAGATGAAACTTTCTTGTCTTGTGTTGTTGGAAAACCTTGTGCTTTGGCCGCAGGCGCTGCACGGACGTTCGAACATTCACCAGTACTTTGCCCACGCTTTACGCCATTGAATCTTTCTTGTACGTGGGAACCAAACATCGGCGTTGAAAAGATTGTGGGAGCAGTCAAAGCGGACATGAGTACAATGTCAGCAAGCGTTCATCGACTAGAAGCCCATCATTTTGGCATCCGTAAAGCATTACGCAGCTCCGTTTGTCATTTCGTTTGATCGAGTCTATCGCAAAGCGAGTCACATGCAAAGCGACCTAGGACTGCACGACATCTGCAAACAGAAATCGAATCACACTTTCGCTATGCGCCGCGTCGGCAAGATTCATTCCAACTTCCCTCAAGTCACATATTTTCATGATGAGTAATCGATCGGTCGAAACCGAACCAGCCAAATACCGGATTCCCACCACGACTTGGACTTGACGGTCACAACAGCCTTCTCCAAAAAGCCAAAGGTTATGTCAACCCTAACAAGATCGCCTGCGTGAAACATCCTTCAACCTGACAAAACTCTAGGCTCTAGACACGGACTGAGGTCGACAAAAAACTCGCTGAGTTCTAGAACCCTTTCAAAGCGAGTACTCGCCGGTGGGAAATGGGGAATTGGGAACCAACGTGGAAACAACGAACTTCGCAAGAAAGAAACCCTCAACTCTAAACTTGTTTTGCATGTGTACTTTGCAGCGAAGGTCCATCCAGCAGCAGCATCGAAATGGGCGTGCATCAAAGCATCAAGGCATCAATCAATCGGTCAATCCATCGATTGTTCGATCGATGGATCCACCCACCATCCACTCCCTCCAGCGCCATCATCACCACCACCACCACCACCGGACAGTGGACTCGCAAAAGAAGGAGAAGCAGCATCACTGTTGGAAAGAAGACTCGAGCAGCAGCAGCAGCAGCTGCAACTGTTGGCTTTAAAGTCACTCATCCATGTTTCTGGGACTGTAGGAAGATTCTCCCCTTCCTTTGCGGACAGTAATTCTTGAGCCTGCGGACTTTGACGGATGCTCATTGCTCGACATCGACGTCGACAGGAACTGCAGCCGAATCAGTGGAGATAAGGCAGATGTTCTTGTACGGAGAACAGTGGGATTCCGGGCTGCGGTGCCTTGACGGACGTAAAGTCCGAGGGCGTTTAGATTCGTTTAGGTGGGCGAGGAAGGGGCGGACGTCTTCCCTTTACCGCACAAGTGCATGCTTGGCATACCTGCCACATCGTTTGCCTCAGCCAGCTGTCGATTCATTCGTTGTGCTACGTCATCACCACCCACTCTGTCCGCAAACGACGGCCACCTGGATAGCATATCCACTGGCTTTCCTGGCGCTTTTTATCCATCATCTTTGTGCTAACCTATGTTTTGGTTTTTGTTTTCTTCGAACAAATCTACGTTTGAAATAACCTTCCACGTAAGAAAATTATCTCTTATCATATCCAAGAAAAAAGGTATCATGTGAATTTAAGAACAAAAAAAAAAACCCTCTGTTTTTCGAGTCTTCATCGAAACAAAACATTCCAGTGATTTCTCGTAGAAAATAAAACCAAAAGTTTGAAATACATCAAAACACATCAAAACACGACGACTGTAATGTAAAAAGACTGAGACGGAAAAGACCGAAACGGAAAATTACAAGGGAAAAAAGCTCAGAGTTCTTTATTTTTTCTCTGAAAGAATTTCTTTTCTCTCCAAATAAAAGTCTTCATTTCTATATATAATACAAAGACCACTCCCTTTCGCCTGCACCATCCGTTTATGATAGCTTGATCCTACTACTTGCGAAATTCACCACGTGAACTTTTTGGGGTGGTATAGTCTAACACACGAGCACTCTTATCTCTCTTATAAAAGGGGATACACATATTACCTTTTCTCTTTTCTCGATCGTTGGGTAGTTGCATTGTACCAAGATTTTGTTCTCAATATTTAAGTAGTAAACCACTTGATTTTTGGAAAAGAACATGTTCGACTCTCAAACTTTTCATTGGAGACTAGTTTTTTTCATACGTGTTTCAAAAGTAGCTTTACATCGTTCTCCATGGTTGACAGGTCAGAATCCATAATATGAGCAAATTACCACAATAATCAATACAACGGTCTTTCTTATTTGGTCCAGCTATTTAGTTCCAAAGTTCAAATCGTCAGTCGTCAAGTCCCGGTATAAGGATCTTTATTACCATTTGAAATTTCATCGTATTATCCTACTGCGAAAGTATTTGTACCAAGCGGAAGTTACAACTATTTTCGCAATAAGATATCAAAGTATAGGGAGCTGATGTTGATGATCTCTTCACATGTAGCAGAATTTATGATTGCACTGCTCAGGTGAGAAGAAGAACTAGATTCATTATGTCGTTAGTTTCCATGCCAAGCTATGTAAACATGTACTCGAAATGTTTATTTATAACAGGAAGTGATGTATGGGTATGTTTTATGTCGGGAAATTTCACAAACCCCCATACGAAATGTATATTTATTTTCTTATCAGTTCATTCGAAACATCTTTTTGCAATTATTTTACACCGACAACTGTGCAGAGTTTAAGTCACTTGAGGAATTTGTCAGGCTGGCTTTTGCACTCTCATTCTCCTAACAGCTAGTCAAGGCATACCACTCAGAATTAAAAAGATATGGACTATCAGGAATGTACTTCTTCATAACTCAAAAAGATTCTACCCCACCTATTTTTGTCATATAACAATCCTATGATAATCAAGTCTTACTCAGTTTATGACATGAGGTAGATTATTCTTATCTGTTTCACACACGTTGCAGTCGTATGGGTAAATTTAGCATAAAAGAACTTCTTGGAATTTAGCAATCAGGGGTTTTATACATGTCAGCTTAAAATATTTGACATTGAATAATACAACTTATGAGAACATCTTATCCAGTTTTTCATTTTCAAGATGTTTAGTTGGAAACTCCATAAGAAATCTATATTATGCGTTTCCTTGTATGTTGGTATATGGTGCTTATGTGAAGAGAAAATGCCCGTCTTGAGAAGAGTATGGTCTGTAGTTCTCGGTTTCATCCAAAATAATGTTCAGCCATTTCTACGACTAAAGTTAGTACTCGTTTCATGTGATGACCTCTAATTCTTCAAGAATTGAGGTAATGTGTTGTATATGCAGAAAGGCTATGTTGATTTAGGTAAGTATCTAGGATGTTATGTCATTATCAACAAGCATCAACACTACAAAGAGTCCACTAACCACATTTAAAAAACGTTTGAGTGTTTGAATTACTCCACATTTACTTCTCTTGCAACTAAACGAAGTCGACAGATACAATCCAATTGCAAACGCATAAACTGAACTTCGTCAATGATAATACAGTTAGCGTATAACGTGATTCACCCTCAAGGTCTACATCCACCGAAAAATAATATCGTGATAGTCTACTATGCCTGCTATCTGATAATACTCAGACTTGGGTATATATATTCAACATAGTGCGACACATCTCAACTATAAGTAGTTATACATGAAGTTACTCCTTACCAAAGTTAACTTCAACAATCTCCCTTTTAACTTCTGTTAAGAAATCTCAATAATCTATTATTACTTCTCAGGAGATTCTAGACGGAAACTTAACACAAGATATCTCTTTAGACGAGATTTAAGTAGAATTAATTCATAGCCATAACATGACAGAATAATAATATATAAAGATAACTAAAATTCATGTCTCCACATTAACTAGTGTTAAGTAATCTCAATAAATTCTATGATTTACATTATTACTTACATAACTGTATAGTTTAATAATATATAAAGATAACTTAAAACCGTATCTCCATATTAACTAGTGTTAAGTAATCTCAATAAGCGCTGTAATTTATATTATTACTCACATAATTGTATAGCATAATAATATATAGAGGTAACTAAAAACTATATTTCCACGTTAAGTAGGTTAAGAAATCTCAATAACCTCTCTAATTTATATTAGTATCCATGTAACAATATAGAATAATAATAAACAAAGTTAATTAGATAATCTCCCCTTTACCAATTGTTAATAACAAAACATTCAAAGTAACAACCAACCTGGGAGAGACAAGTGTATAACGTGGTTTATCCTCAAAGACAACCTCCATGGGGAATAGCATCGAGATAGTATATTGTGTGTATTGAATGATAATACACAGATTCTCTGGATATATATACCCAATACCGGGGACCAATCTCAATTAGAAATAGTTATACATGATGTTACTCTTTAAACGGAATTAACCTCAACACCAATTTAATCCGCGATTCGTGCCTAAGATGTGGACATTATGCCCACATTAAAAGATTTGAACTGTAGTGGCTGAATAATGACCATAGGTTGGCCCAAATATAGCGAAGGTATGATACCCATAAGCGACCAGAAGTTAACCCTGTTCAGGTATTTAGTAAGTATTTCAGTATTCTCTCCCCTTTTTTATGGGAGGGAATTAAGTATAGAAAAGTTAATAGAAGTGTAAAAAAAGCTTAAAATAAGTATATTTAATATTCCACGGAGGAATTACTAAAAAAATATATCATACTTATTGCGGGAGATAATCGACTATCATCGATAATCGAATCAAAATCATCGATTTCTAAATACCTGAGAATTACCTGTTCCAACACAGTCACAGCTAGTTTTAGAGAAGAACAATGTAATCAAGTGAGACTTCCACCACGCACCATCCTTGATGATAAAACATAATCGTGTAGACAACGTCGATCAAACACCATGTGACGTGATTAGGGCTGATTGTCCTAGTGCAAAAGAGCTCAACGGAGTTGATTATAATTCTGAAAAAAAGGTTTCGTCCATCGAAAGGCATTTATTCCTGTTTAGCTGATCTAATGGCTTTTGGTACGAAAAGGACATGCACTGTTTAGATTCATCACTCTCTCGTTTCTGTTTTTCAGTTGACTTCGAATTTGTTAGAGCTCGCGCTGTTTCAGTGGTACAAGGAACATCTTCGAGTGCTAGTTCCGACCTGATTAGATCTCGTGTTCTTTGATTATCGAGTCATTTTCTCAGGCAACATGCAAGGCATCCATTTCGCCTCGAACTGGTGATAATCTCGATTACCTCACCTCTAAACACGACTTCGTCAAGCAGGCCCAGTTGTGTTTCGAAGTGGGAGATCGACCGTTAATAACAGTTCTCGAAAAATATTTCCTGCACGTTCTTTCAAGCTCATCGGATGTTGTAGACATTCCATTATGATTATCTTAAGGCGGAGCGGAGTGGAGTGGATCTACCCGGCTTCACCTGATCATCTTCCTCCCTTCCAACTCTTCCCGAAGGTGAGTAAGCGAGAGAAGTCTTGGAAACAAGGTTCCACTTTCGGTAGCATCCATCCATCCATCCATGGCCTGCAAAAGCTTCACCTCGCAGCTCGAGACGACGACGAAGCCGGATGCGCTTCCGTGTCTGCGATCGAGACCACCGTCGACTGCCGGTTACCAAAAGCCAGAGGACCGGCTGCCCGAGGCAGTGGAGGGCCTTTTTTTAACGAGGTCAGACAGAAGAATATGGCGTCGCACATCGGGACGATCGACGGAGGATCGAATCGGAAGGATTAGCGTAAAACGAAGAACTGGCCTCCGGAAACAGTTGAATCAACTCAAATGAAAGAGAATGCATGCCACGGAGAGCGAGGCGGAGTTCACGACCGCAGAGGTCAGCTCGGAGTGTCCGAGACTCGGGCGGAGGACGAGACGAGAGGAGGGATAGTGGGCGATCTAGCAAAGCTCAAGAGCCACTCACGAGCCGAAAGGGATGAGGAGATTCTCGGACCAACCTACTCCGAAAACGGGTCGCCGATCGGCCGATCGGCCAATGGTCCCTGCCGATGGTCCGAGGCTCCTGGTTTGCCTACCGAAACAAAACACTACCCAAAACC